TAACACGCATAAGAAAAAATACGAGACTACATTAACTACTCGCCCCGTAAATACACACAAAACTACAGCAATTCATGCAGATACATTTAATTAACGGTTGAGCTTATCAAGCAAGCGGACAGACATGAAATCCTTAACAAAATAATGCATCAAAAAGTGTATAAATAAGTATATAGTGAAGCCAAACATACAATTTAAGAGATCATAAACTGATAATAATACCCAAACGTAGCCACACGTCAAGGTAAGCGCCAAAGAAGACACGCGTGCGCACTCAAACGGTGCGATCTTCCATGCTGCTACCGACTTTGCCTTGCTCCATATACCGGTACAACGTGTAAGAATCAGCACCGCGCAGCACCGACCGTGTGCCGTCATTTTGCTCCTTTGTTTCGTTACTGAGATCCCCTAAATGCCTGCAGTTAAGCAGACTTTACGGCACTGTTTCAAGATCCTTATCTACCCACGTAGGTAAGCATTGCCGTCCTTTTTTCGGCATGCGTGGCTTCTTTTAATGAAATGAAAATGATCATCATTTAAACTTTTTATAAATTTAAATAAATTTCATTATTAATCCCTACCAAAAAAATATATTACCTTCCATTAAATGGGTATAGTGTATAGGGGGAGATATAATTTAAGTGAAACACAAATATTTTTTATTCAACACATTCGTTAATCGCTTGACGTAATTTGATCTTTGATTATGAATTTTAACATATGAATAGTAAGGATAGGCGTATATATAGTGAAAGGATATGTTTTATAAGGATACGTCATTAATGGACTGCTCATTTGTGCCTCTGCTTCTCTTTCTCTTACTTTCGCCGTCACTTTATATAGCAGTTAAGTGACCTTTCATTTAATATAATATGCATATAAATAGGTCAGTGCGTATACTCATGTATGTCAGTGTTTTTTATTAAGGGTCGAAGAATTATAAGGGTATATTCAAGTTTGATGTTTTTTTATTTGATTATTTTTTAAATAAGGGAATTTTTATATTATTAACATATTGCAATGTTATTTTGTGTTTATTTATTTAATGAATAAAATTTCGATCAGATGTTAATTTTTTTCTTCAAGGTAATTTAATAGCCCAAGTAAATTTTTTTTTATATAAAAATGAAATTGTTTCTGAATATATGTCCATTATTATATAATATTTTTTTTAATTTATCCTGTATTGCAATTAAATATCAATAAATACTTTAATAAAAAAAAATTCAAACCATGATGTATTATTGTCATTTATATTTAAAAAATTTAATTTTTACTGTTTGTTTTGACGAAACAAACTAAATTTTTGAATAAACTATTGGTTTTAATATATTGGTTTTTACCGAACAGTAGTAAAATTGCAACAACAAAAATTTTTTTATTATTTATAATAAAATAACTACGATCAGCCAAAAATGCAATTAATTAAACATAATAAGAAAAATTGGTTTATTGCAATTTTACTACTATTTAGAAAAATAAAAAAGAAAAAGGTTTAAATGATAAGAAAAATTTAATTAAAATAATAATTTTGAATATTATTAAATAAACAGTAATATTCAATAATTATTATTTAATTTTAACAAGACTTTCGATCTTTACTTTTTTTACGCCTAGTAAAAATTAAGTAATAATTTTAATTAAAAGTTAATTGTAATTGTTCCCTTTTTAAAAATTCATAAAAGACTACCAAATTAATAAAACATATTAATAATAAGAAATAAATAATAAAACAAATACATATAATTGATAACATTGTAAATATATACATAATATACATATAAATAAATATACGACTACATTAAATATATTAAATATAGTAAAATATGGAATATATGGTATATGAAAATATAGTAAAATAAAATAATTAATTAATTCAAATTTTTTAGATTTACCTAACTTTTATCTTAAGGATTCACTACAAACTCAGACGGCTTAAATCATATATCATCTGTTAATTTTCTAATATCTGAATTTATAAAAATTATGATAACTTACACTCTTTCAACTATTAAAAAAATACGGTAAATCAAATCGACTCCCCCCCCCCATGTCGGTAAAGATATGTTTTTAAAAATTTTTATGCCAATGAACGATGAGATCATATAAGACCATAAGTATCAACTGGATCTTAAAAATTACTCCAGTAACGACTATTTGCGTCTGTTTTTAACCAATATTTAAGAGAGATCAATAAAAGTTTATTTATAGATTGATCAAGAAGAAACTTCATATACTCATTAAAATGAATGAAATTGACTAATTATATCTCATATATACTGAACAAACACAGCTTGTTTTTCATAAATTTTCATTAAAATTTTTAGTTGATGTTTGATATGCAGTGACCATATTTGGTGTACTTATGATATTGAATCCAGATAAATACAGATATATATATTTCTGCTTTCAAAACTTTATTTTTTATACTAAGAATTACAAATAAATAAGCGCAAGATAGATATAGATAAATATAGAAAGAAGTGGGCAGGTATAGCTACATATAGATAAATATAGACAGATGCAGATGGATATAAATGGAAATTGATATATATATATTAGATATATATAGATCGATAAGTAAATATTGATATATATGGATAGATATGGATTGATTTTGATGGATATTGCTAGGCATATAGATAGAAATAGATGGAAATAAATAGATATAGATAAATATAAATAGATGCAGATAGACATTGATGCGCATATATAGAATTAGATAGAGCTAGATATAGGTAGATATAAATTAATATAGATTCATATAGATTGATAAACATAGATATTGAAAGATATAGACTGGATATATATAGATATATGGATTAATACAGATTGAGGAGTATAGATATCTATAGATACAGATAAATATAGAAAAGCATTGATGTAGAATTTATGTAGGTCAATGTTTAACACAAAAATATATGTTAAGTATCAACACAAATGATCTTTAAGATCGCTGTGGACCACAATGGCACTATAACTAACCATCATAATAAAACATATTTATAAATATAGTAATAATTGGTTAATTTAAGTAAAGATAATAGAGTTACATTAAAACAGTTAGTTCCACATATAATTTAAAACATACTTTGTTTTTATAAATTTAAAGGCTTTCGTTAATGAATTTAAATATTTTCTAAATTATTTTTTATGAATTTCATAACAAAAGATGTTATCGTTAATCAAAACTAGCATATTTAAAATATATTTAAAATAGTGATTATTTTGTAACTTCTCAAAATTCTCAAATGTCTACATTAAGTAGAGCAAATATCTTTCTTCGTAGAATTTCTGCACAATTTGAGCCGAATTAGTTTTGGTTTCATATATCCTAGTAAACATGGAAAGTAAATCAGATAATTCCAAATGAATACTTGCTCAATATTATGAGGATCCAGTTGCAATCTTATAGCAACAGCAAGACAAATTTTCTTCTCTCATAATAGAATTGCAACAAATATTTTCTCAATAATAAGATCTTACTTGACCTCAAATAAGAAGATTTTAATCGCTTAAGTCTAAAACCAAAACCGGCTAAAAACAATATTCAAAGTAATGTTTTCAAGTATCCTTTTACTGCCTTTTACAAAGGATATAAATAAAACTGTGTACAATATTTTTTTTTTAATTACTGCAAAGTGTACAGGTGAATTTGATCCTTTTTGGAGAAAAAAATTTAACCAAAAACCAAACTTGACTTTCGTTTAACAAATAATGAAGTTTTTATATAATCGCCTTTTTATATTTTTCTTTATAAATAGAATTTACATAATTATAATTTTGAATGTCTTTTAATAACATTTTTCTTTGGGTTTTGTGTTTTATTATATGATGTATTCTAAATATTTTATTAATATTATTACTGCAATTAATAACTAACTAACGGCTGTGTGGAAAATAGTATAGATGCTTTATAATATTTATTTTTGAATACAAATACATAAATGGAATCTAATCCATTCTATCATAATATGATTTCGAAATGTCTAAGTATCTGAACCCTCTATTATGTCCTATTAAATTACTAAATTACTATTTTTCTTAAACTTTAAATACAATAATAAATAAATATATAAAAGTAATTGACATTCTTAAATAGAAAAAATACATCAATTATTTTATAAAAAAGATGTGTGTACTTCTAAAAATAGTGGTTAATCTTTTTTATTTAAATATAAAATTTGATATTAATTATATAACAATAATATAATAATAACATAATCGTTTTATTAATACCCAATGTGATAATAATATTATAAAAATATAATAATAATATGTTATTAAAATATAATATTATAATAAATAGCTAGTAAAAATAATATATATAAAAAAATAAATATAAATAAATAAATAAAATTTGGTGTATTAATACGAATAAATAAAAATAAAAAAATAAAAACAAAAATATTAAAATTAAGTGAATTAAAGGAAATAATAATAAATAAACAAAAATAATTTTAAAAAAATTAAATAAATAATAAATTGCACATAAAAAAAGAATATTTTTAAATGCACAAAAATAAAAATTCAGTTTATAAATATATAAAATATATAGTATTATATTGATAATAACAGTAATATATTAATATTATTATCAATGTCAATGTAATATTCCATGTAATATATACAAATAAATAAATGCATAAAAGTAAATTAATTCACAAGAATATATATTTACATATTTGTCTTTTTGTACACATTTATATGTTTCAATAATCTTTTATATTTTATAGTTACAATCTTAGTATTTTGCAAATTATGAATTAAAATATATTGGCTTTGTAATATTACAAAAGTGTATTGAAAATTTTATACCTATATTAAAAACCATAAATAAAGTTTAAAGAACCCAATACTTTTTAGCCCAACTAAATATCAGCCTATTCAAAATCTTCAAAATAATTTCCATCTCACATCACATAACTAAAGTAAGATAAGTAATCCAAGAACTCTATATATTCCATACTTATAATCACAAGCAATAACGAATAACTTACCTTGAAAGCATAGCAGCATCCTGTGGACCACCACTGCCTGGTTGTGGCAGATGTGGTATTGGTGTAATAAGAGTAGCCACATTATTATTATTTGCACATTTCTTTGCTGGTTCATTTCGACTTAGAATACTCGATATGGAAAAGCTGGTGAAACCGTTACCAGTGGTAACCTTATTGCTTTCATTACCATTATTACCATTTGAATTTGCTAAATTCTGACTACTGCCGTTACTATCACTGTTATTGTTACTAATCAGTTTATTGTTATTATTATGCACCAACGAAGTGACCTCATCACCATTGTGTGCTGGTGATTTAGGTGCCATAGCAGCCATAGCCGGTGGACTAAAACGTTCCGTAACCGCAGCTAATTGTGTTACCGCCGTCGGTGTAACTGCATGCTGTAGCAATTGCTGATGTGCTGGGTGAGCAGGATGTCCTGGGTGAAGATGACCAAAGGTATGCAAAGCATGATGTAAGGCCACTGGATGCCCACTTAAGCTATTTAGATGATGTTGCAAATGATGATGCAATACCGTCGGCGGTACAGCACTTAACGCAGCAGTTGGACTATGATAGTTAGCATTCGAAGTAGGTGTTCCAGCTGCTGTTGTTGGTGTTGAAGTAGTTGATGTTGGCGCGCTACCGGCTGATGGAGCTGGAGATATGCAACGCATAGGGCTATCACGCTCATTACCACAGCCTGTCGGACTTGGTTCCGGGCTTGAGACGACGCTTATGTCAACTTCAGCTTCAGAAGTAGACATTTTAAGTGTTAATGAATGTATTATTTTTTTCAAGAAAAGTTAATTTTAATCTTATATTTGGCACTAAATATTTATATTATTTTTTATATTCTTTAGGTTAACACACTTGAATTAAATTTTTATATTCTTATTTACTTAGTTTCATCATATTTTAGTCATACTTTTCTTTAATTGTCAACACTTGTCTATTGCTTATTGAAGACTTTCTATTACTTTAAAAAGCACGTTACACAATTCAACGCCCGCTATTGTATCCGTTAAAGACGTCCTTACCGCTTCATCAACGATTCACATTTAATTTCAAATTTTCAGTCAAAACTCTATTCTGCTCTTCACAGCACGGAAAATTGTTCTGTACTGTTGCGTTTATTTGTATTTCCTTAGTTGATCGTTTAGTTTTTATTGTTTTTGTTTCTCGATTTAACCCCCGGTCTTAAAAGAGTGTGTGCATTGCTGCGCTGCAAAATTAAAACTAAGGTGGTTGGTTGAAATTCTTTTGGTCTTTGCGCTAAAATGGTTTTCCACAATTGTTAACGTCGCAGCACAAGCACACAAACCCAAAGGACAAATACCAGAGTACAAACCTACAAACAAACAAAATCTAAAACTGTTCTACCTACACAAACCCCTCAGCAGAACAGTTAAGTTCTTTAGTACTGCACAGGGAGGTAACATGATAGTATGAAAACTGCAAAATCTTAGCGCAGAGGGTTGGGAAAACTACCTTTAAGAGCACATTTATCGCAAGAGGTTTCTAAAGTATGATAAGTCTCATATCCACTCTGCCTCTCTCCGCTATAATTGTTTGCAATTCTGCGCTCATGGTACGCAAGAGATTCTCATATGTTGTGTCCTTGTCATGGGGGTTGTTTTATTTCCATGCAGTTAAGCTAGTTGTATTGCCACAATTTATTTATATATACACATTTACATATATGTTCAGATATGTATAGATTTTGTTATAATTGTTCTGGAACCACATCAACAAACTTTTACATTTATTCCGGTAAAAGAAATCAAATCAACTATTTCGTTTTTATTTCATTTTTTACATGATTTTTGGTGCTCTTTTTAATTGTTGTTTTATAGTTTCGAGTGAAACATTTTGGCAATGAAACAGTGTTAAATGACTATTTAATAGTTTTAAGTATTACCACGCTGGGTGGACGATATTTCCATTGAATGGTTTTGTATGTATATTTGCAAGAATTCATTGTGTTATATTCAATGTGCTCGTATTAAATTATTGACTCAAAAGCATTACATCAATCAATTTACATAGAAAGGTCAAGTGTTGAACTATTGAAATATTCATTGAGGTTACACTGTACATGCATTTCGACAAGTATTCATTTATATGTTTCAGATTGAAACCAAATTAAGTTAATGGAGCTTCTTCTCCCTTGCTTTGTATACAAATTGAGTATTTCGGACAGGTGTCGGATGTGCTCTATTATTAATTACTTTATTGAGTTTAGATTATATTAAAAAAAAATCATGAACATTTATATTTTAATTGAATTTTAGAATTTAACTCAAATTAATTAAATTTAATTTCTAAATTTGAAAATAAAATAGGACTCCTATAATGTCTGAAAAAAATTTCTTTAAATAAGATTATAAAATGTCACAACATTATTACGATAGAAAACATATTAAAATATTTAAAAACAAATTTAATTTAATTACATTTTAAAAAAAAAATTATTTGTATAATTGTACTGATAAAAGTGCTTATGATTTAAGCCCTTTATATATTTTAATATTTAATAGTTAAATTATTATTCAAATTTAACGAGTTGGAAAAATACACAAATTTTTAAATATTTAATTTTAAATATTGGTAATATTTACAGTACACCCGACTTAACTTAAAATACTTTTATTTTCTTTGTTTTTAGTGGTTCAGTTCCTTATTAGCTTTTTTATAGTCTAAAACAAATATCTACATAAAGAATTCAAAATTTTTAATATATAAATATTTTGAGGTTTTCTAAATAAAATTTTATATTCTTGTTATAATAATCTGAAACATAAAGCTGAAGCCCATAATGATATTATTGGAGAGTTCAACTTTTGTTGAGGTCCTGAACTACTTCAAATAAACTATGTGGTTTTCCTTAAAAAAGAAATCTTTTATAAAGTTCACTCTTACACCGCAACGAGTTGAACAATGTTATAATAAATACTGAGAGTCTCTACTACATGCACTCAATTCAGTCGCATATATGCTCATACAATGATTTGTAGTGACACACCTTATCAGATTAAAAATACTGCTTAAAAATTTTTAATTTTCTGTTTTCTGAGTCTCTGTTAAGTTTTTCTTTAAATAAAGAACTATAAAGATCTAAGTTCTTCTTCTGTAACCAATGGTTTAATGAACGAACAAGTCTTAAAGACTTATCACATCTGAAGCACCTAAATTGGTTCTATATAATGAGGATTGTCAAGAGAATTCTCCAAACAAAAAAAGTTTCTTATATGGCATAGCTTTCATAAGGAAAACGAACTAGCGGCGCGGGCATGTTATAACAAATATACAGGATGTGTACTAAGTAATGCCCTGTCCAAACAGTTCCGGGTCATGTAATCAATTCTGAGTAAAGGAACGCTGTTATGGGTGTAAAAACATTTCCTTCCTCAGCCTACAAAAAAATGTAAGAATAATTATTTAAAGTAATTTGTAATGTATTGAATTTTTATATCTATATATTTATTTATATATATATCTCTTATAATTTTAGTTGATTACATTTTCTTGTTTGTTTTTTCACTTGCTTTTTATCAAACAATATATTCTACAAAACAAGTGATCAAAAAAGAAAATGTATCAATTAAAATTATAAAAGATATATATAGAAGGTATCTATTAAAATTTTGAAAGATATATTGAAGAGTAATTCTTTTGTCAACGAACTGTCAAATATAGATATAAAACTTAATCAACAATAGAATAAAAAACAGATGTTATTAAAAAATCCTTAGCTTTGAATATTTCCTATCTTATATTACATTACGGTCACAATATATCTCTTATGCTCTTTTCAGTACGATCTCCACCAACTTAATAATAATACCTTTAAATAATTTGCAGTAAATTCTAAAACATACAGATATTTTAAATGCTTTATATTCTTTAGAAGACATTTAAGCAAAATAGAAGCGAATTAATTTCGCCGTGAATAGCACGTGCTTTCTTCTGTAATAAAACAAACTTGAAACCAAATGGAAAAGAACAGGGGTGGTCTTGTTACAATGAAACGAAACATTATACTCATGTAGAACGAAATGCAATGCTCACTTGTGCACATACAATTCGCACTCTGGGGTGCTTTAGAACGGCCATTTTTACAGAAGAAGTGCAGGTTTAGGTTTAGACAAATATTATTGAATTTAATGGTAACTCATCTCAGCATGTGGCATGGCCAAAATTATTATTTTAAATGTTTTGGTTTTTATTAATATTGTAAAGAGAAAAATGATATAACCAAAGCATTTTGCAAACAATTTACACATAATAAAAATATAATAAATTCTTACAGAGAGAATAGAAGAGTGTGTGAGCGAGAGAGCGAGTAACTGAAATTTTGAATAACAGTAAAAGAATGTTAAACACCGTTTTGAGTGAATTGTTGGGCGTGTCGGAACTGCATACTCAGTGCTGACCAATCATTGGCGTTAGTATTGTGCGGAAGATACGCAAATGCTCATTTCCATATAGAAAAAGCACAATGAACATGTATCGCAAGAGGTTGTGTAGTTATTTAGTTTTAGCAAAACCGTCGGAAAAACGGTGTATCGCTTCATCCTATGCAACGACTGCACAATATTTCGTTTAGCTTGCAACTGACAATGAGGAAAATGCGTAGAAATTCATGCGCAATTACTTTCATCCTGTTGAGGAGATTGCTGCCTTAAGTGTTCTGTACGCTAAAGTGCAAACATTTTAGTTGCAGGGGGTTAAGGGGCCAACAATCAACATACTTTCGCTTGTATTCGCTTTGGCGAAGAAAAATTGCATACCTGTAAAATATTTTAAAAATCCCTTTTTCTTCGCTTTTTTTTGTTTTAGTTGGTTTTTTTTTTCATTCTTTTGTTTATGGCTGAAATGTGATTGCTGTGTATGACATTTGAAAGATCAAAGGTGTCACATAGGCGTTGCCCCACTTTGGTTTAACCCACAAGTTATTTTTTAGTTAAGTAAATATTTCACTAAAAATTGTTATTCATTAGGGTTTGAGTGTCAAGTTTGGGGTACAGAGTACTTTTTTCATTTCATTTTATTCTGTATTTTATATAAAATATTGTTGTTCAATTCTGTAAAGCAATCAAATTTTTTTTTGTATTTAGAGAAGTATTGTTTTTTTTAGTTTTTTGATGATATTTACAAAATGACACAATATACTTATTATAATTTTTAAAAATGCTATAAATATTTTTTTTTTCTTTTGCGGGAAGAATTATATTTGGCAGATGGGAAAATTTTATATATTAACCCAAAATTATTTATTTTAAAAATTTTTATAAATGATAACATTTTAGTTCTGTACTACTTTATAGATTATTTGTTAATTCTCGTCTCTTTCATACAAATTATGAATCAATTTTATAAATCATAAATAAAATCTTAATAGAAAATTGACAGCATGACTAACCTTTCTAATTTAATTCTTAACCTTACTTAAACGTTCAAGACAAGAGTACATTTACTTTAAATATTCGTACTTTTCTAGTCAAAACAATTAGTAAAGAACCCTTTTGGCAACTCTTTATCCACACTCAATATTCATTGTGTGCTCGTTACGTACACAAAGTGGTCACTGAATGCTTATACAAACGCTAGGAGAAACTCAAAGCAAATATGCAAATTTACAAACAAATTTATTGAGTAGCCAATCTGACCTCTCCACCCACCTTACACTGTATTACCATTATTACATACTTTAACAAATTAAACACATCGAAATCTTTAAATAGCACAGCGACGTACGGCAGCGAAGAAGTTGGTACAGTCAAAACAATTCTCCAACA